AATGTCAAATGAAGCTACTTGAGTTGTTAAGGAGAGAAGCAAATATTAGCTTCTTTCTTCAATTTATTTGCTTATGAAAAATGAGGCTTAAAATATTGAACAGGTTTGTAGTTGTAGCATGGTAGCATGCTTTATAAGGAAGTTAGTTTAAGAGCCTAAAGAACTGAAAAAAAAAATACCAATTGGCAACAGACAGAAGTATTTTTTCCACAAAAAGAGTATATTGTTATTTACAAAAGAGGTACCTGGGATTTTGTTTTCCTTCAGTGCTGTAAAAGTTCATATTCAATCAATAGTGTTTAACTGTCATTTTCAGGGGTTTTATTGTACTGATGGCTTGGACAAAATTTACAACTGTTCAAATCAGACAAAATTTAAAATTATTGTGATTTCTTGAATCACCTTTGGAATAGAACTGTGTTTAAATCTCTTTAGTTACCTCTTCTTGCAGTAGCTTAATAGTTGCTATCTTTGTGGCACAGAAGCAGATGATGAAGCAAATTCATGGTTAATGACCTTATTCAAGGTCAGTAAGTAAGTCAGTTTCAGTCCTAGGGCTAGACTTCTAACCACAGAGTCATTATGTGCAGGCTGTCTCCTGAGCTGGTGTTGCCATTAATTGACCCTTTAAACTTGGAGTTTCAAATCTGGTTTAAAATTTTAATATAATGAAACTATAAAAATAGGATCTAACACACACACACACACACACACGCACACACGCACACACGCACACACGCACACACACTTTATCTATTTTGCAGCATTGTTTAGTGCTGAGTAAAATCTGGAAAGCTTCAGATTGATACAAATCCAGGTTGTAGAAATGTGTTTGACCAACAGAATGTTGGAGTGTTGAAAACTTTGGTTTAAAATTAGTTGTCAACATTTAGAAGTTAGGAGTTTCACATAGCTGGTTCTCTGGCTTCTTTTAAAAATTTTAAAGGACTTGAAGAAACTGCTCTAACTCCCCAAACTGTAAAAATTCCCCGGAGCACAGGCTGGGAGTATAACTCAGTGGTAGTATACCACTACCCAAAATGAATAATATAAAATAAAATACCCCTGAGTCTGGGTAGCAGAGCCCTCTTTCAGTGGGCATAGTTGATCATTGTTTGCACAGGGCTTCTTTATCATTTATATTAAGTGCCTTGCCTCTATAAGCAAATGAGTGGAGGGATCTAGCCATGTTACCAAATTAGAATTTCCCATAGTTTTCAAGACATTTTTGGGTTTGTCATTTAAAGCCTTTACAACTTATCTATTTTATCTTTCTCTATGTCCTACCATCATCTTCCAGTTTCCATTGCAAACCAGGAAACTTTCCCTTTATTTTAATACACCATTTCCTCTTCAAAATACTCATTGTGTCCCTGATAGTCATGATTTCATGTGTACTCCCAATTTCCCTTGCTTAAAAGGGCCTTCTTGGGACTGGGAGTGTAGCTCAGTGGTAGAGTATGTGATCAGCATGCTCAGACTCCTGGGTTCCATCCACAGTATTACCAGGAAAAAACAAAGACTGGGGTTCAGCTCAATGGTAGAATACATGTCTAGAATGTGTAAGGTACTGGGTTCAATGCTGAGCACTGAGGTTAAAAAAAAAAAAAAGCCTTCCCCAGAATTATTCCTCAGGGCAAATCAGCTCCAATATTACTTTGAGTAAAGACTTCCCAAATTATACCCACCTTCATCCTATTCTCACTTTTTCAACTTTGATCTTTTATCACAGCACCTAGCAACTTGTTTTATGGTAGTTTGGATACTTATTTACTCCTTGCCCTGTGTTATTTCTATCTTTTACCTCAGGATCTGAATGTCTTCTCTATCTTCTGCTCCATTTGACTTTTGATAGGGTACCCTTACTTTTTTCCTTTTTTCCTCCTCCTCAAGATCCTCCCCCTTCTTTCTCCCTGTTAACACAAGCACTATTGCTAGGCTGGCACCATGGCCCAACCAGCTCAACCTACCAAAAAAGAAGAATTAGGACATGTTTATCTGAGTTGTTGATTCAGGAGCCCTGACACATATCTTTGGAAACATGAATATATTTGTTATAATGCACCAATTCCTAACCATGGGAAGCATGGCATAGAGAAAAGAAATACAGATGCCTGGTATCTAGTGTTCAATTATTGTCTATCTTATGCAAAGTTGACCCTTTGCATCTGTGGGTTTCACATTTGTGCATTCAACCAACTTTGGATCAAAAATATTCAGGAAAAAACTGCATCTACGTTGAATAGGTGCAGATTTTTCCTTATAATTATCCCATAAACAATACAGGATAACAATTATTTATGTAGTATTTACACGGCATTAGGCATTATAAGTAATTTAAAGATGATTTAGAGTATATGAGAGGATTATATGCCAATATAATTATATGCAAATACATCATTTAAAAAATAAGTCTGCAGATATTTATATGAGTAGTTTATATGCAAATGCATCATTTTTAAAATAAATCTGAAGATATTTGTGTCTAAGGAGTTATAGATCAAGTACCATAGAAAATCAAGGGAAAACTATAGTTAGGTTGAAATGCTTGAATGCTGTTCATAGATACTATAAGATTCTGTTTTTTCTTTTTATTCTTCAAAACCACCAGTTTGCATGAAACCCAACAAGTTACCTTGCTTAATTTTATTTTGTTTTTAGTGAACATATGAAGCCCAAAATTTATGCAGAGACCTGAAAGCATGGTGTTTTCATTTTCTTACTTGTTTGTAGGAGGAAAGTTGTGGTCAAGACCATTGACAATGCAGCAGAATTTCATGCTACGTGTAGTCAAGGAACACCCTGGATTTATCTGAAATAGTTTAAACGGCTTGTTATACAACAGGTTCCTTCTTGAAGACAGGGGTACTTGCTTGAAGGAAATATAGTTTATTTTTTTCATTGTTGGGAATGGAACTCAGGGCCTCCCATATGCTAAGCAAGTTCTCTACTATTGAGCTACACCTCCAGTCCCTAGGCTGTTTTACTTTTTTTGGGGGGGTAGTGGGTACCAGGGATTGAATTTAAGGGCACCTGGCCACTGAGCCACATCCCCAGCCCTATTTTTTTTAATGTGTTCTACTTATTTGTACATGACAGCAGAATGCATTTGAATTCATTGTACACAAATGGAGTGCAACATGTCAATTCTCTGGTTGTACACAGCATAGAGATGCACCATTCGTGCAATCATACATGTACCTAGGGTAATGATGTCCATCTCATTCCACCATCTTTCCTACTACCATAACCTCTCCTCACACCCCCCTTTTGCTCAATCCAAAGTTCTTCCACTCTTCCCATGCCCCCCCTCATCATAGATCAGCATCCCTTAATCAGAGAAAACATCCACTCTGTCCTATTTTGTATTTTATTTAGAGACAGGGTCTCACTGAGTTGCTTAGTGCCTCACTTTTGCTGAGGCTGGCTTTGAACCCGTGATCCTCCTGACTCAGCCTCCCAAGTCACTGGGATTATAGGTGTGCACCATTGCACCTGGCTCCCAAAGCTGTTTTTGATTCTTGATTTTCTACAATGTGAGGGTAGATAATTGAAATAGTGTAGTACAGTTGCTACTACCAGGTAGCAGAAATTTAAATTAAAATTCTAATTTCAAAAAAGACACAAATTTCTTGCTTAAAACTCATCAAAATTGCTTCTGAGAAATATCATAATGTGTCCCTGCTCTTAGCCTTACTCACAAATAAATATATAAATCAAAATGAAGTGTTCTGGGGCTGGGTTTGTGGCTCAGAGGTAAAGCATTCACCTAGCATGCATGAGGCACTGGGTTCTATCTTCAGCACCAATAAAAATAAAATAGAAATATTGTGTCCACCTATAACTAAAAAATAAATATAAAAAAATGAAGTGTTCTGGTTTCTAGTTAAGTCCTGGCTTTAAATTTTTTTAAATATTTTTATTCATTGTTGATAGATCTTTATTTAATTTATTTATTTATATGCGGTGCTAAGAATTGAACCCAGTGCCTCACACATACTAGTGCTCTACCACTGGGCCACAACCCCAGCCTGGCTTTAAATATTTATGAAGCAGACTATGGGAAATTGATACATGAAGTCCTGGTTAGTGGGCCTAGTTGTAACACAACCCAAAACACTTCAGATGTAAGCCTGGCATGTAAGAAAGAAAAGCGTGGTTGGGTAAGGAGCTCAGTGATAGAGCATTTGCCTAGCATTCATGAAGCCCTGGGTCCCTAGCACCAAACAAACAACAGCAAACAAAGCAAAAACAAAACCCCAAAGACCAAAAAATAAAACAAACACCCTCCTTCTGTGCACCCACTTCTCAGTTTCAAGGAACTGATACACTGTATCACATACTGTCCATTTTATGATTTTTTTTTTTTTTTTTTTTTTTAGCAGTGCTGGGATGAAATTTAGGGCTTTATGCATGGTACACAAGTGTTCTGTTACTAAGCTGTGCCTCCTTGCCAGAAGTATGTATTTTGTATAGTAAGACAACATAAAAACTCCATAGAGAATCAGTAATGGACCATCCTCCCTCCTGTTACTACTTGTGATAGGCATTAGAAAGATACTATTTAGGGACAGAGGATTTCGAATGTTATAAGGCAAGAAACAGTATAACAATAAAGCAGACCATTATTCTTTCCCTTTACTTTCCCTCAAAACCAGAAGTTGCTACCCATTTTATGAGTCCATTTATATAAAATGTGCAGATATCCACATCCATGCAGCAGAAGACAGGTTAGAGGTTGCAGAGGCTTGGATAGGTTGGGGGGAAATGGGGTGTGACTTCAAATATGTACATATTTCCTTTAGGGTTATGAAAAAAAAAATCTTAAAGTTCATTGTGGTAATGAAAAACACACTGAGGCGCGGCGGCGGGGGCCGGAGGCTGGGAGGGGGGGCGCGAGCGCGGACACACTGAACTGCTCCTACCGCTGCCGGCCATCCTAGGGCCTGGCGGGTGAATCTGCGCGGGCCCCACTGCCGCCCTCCCGGCTGCAGGTGTACCTGGTCACCATGAAGCTGCCGAGCCCAGCCCTCATCAGCTGCTTCCTACTGACCCTGCTGAACATATGGAGAGCTGCTCCCGAGGCCCACGCCTCATCCATGGACATGCAGGCAGTCAGCGCCACCTCTTTCCTGGAGAACCTCATGCATCGCTATGGTGAAGGTGGCAGCCTCACCCTGCAGCATCTGAAGAAGCTGCTCATCCACCTGAATGTGGGAGTAGACCGGAATAACGCCACACAGCCTGGCCAGGGTCACAGGAACCTCTCCAAGTGCTTTAGTTCTGGAGACTTCTTTGCTGCTCACAATTTCAGCGAGGAGTCTCGGATCGGGAGGAGTGAGCTCCAGGAGTTCTGCCCCACCATTCTCCAGCAGCTGGATTCTGGGGCCTGTACGTCTGAGAACCAAGAGAATGAAGAGAACGAGCAGACCGAGGAGGGGAAGCCGAGTGCCATCGAAGTGTGGGGATACGGTCTCCTCCCTGTCTCCCTCTGCTGCCTCATGGGGGCCAGCGTGGTGCCCTTCATGAAGAAGACCTTTTACAAGCGGCTGCTGCTCTGCTTCATAGCTCTGGCGATTGGAACCCTCTACTCCAACGCCCTCTTCCAGCTCATCCCTGAGGCTTTTGGCTTCAATCCTCTGGAAGATTATTATGTCCCCAAGTCTGCAGTGGTGTTTGGGGGCTTCTACCTTTTCTTTTTCACAGAGAAGATCTTTTTTTTTTTTTAATTTTTTATTGTTGATTGTTCAAAACATTACAAATTTCTTGACATATCATATTCCACACTTTGATTCAAGTGGGTTATGAACTCCCACCTTCACCCCATACACAGATTGCAGAATCACATCAGTTACACATCCATTGATTTACATATTGCCATACTAGTGTCTGTTGTGCTCCGCTGCCTTTCCCATCCTCCATCATCCCCCCTCCCCACCTCTCCCCTCCCCTCTCCTCCTCTCTCTCTACCCCCTCCACTGTATAACCCTGAGGGTCTCCTTCCATTTCCATGCAATTTCCCTTCTCTCTCCCTTTCCCTCCCACCTCTCATCCCTGTTTAATGTTAATCTTCTTCTCCTGCTCTTCGTCCCTACTCTGATCTTAGTTACTCTCCTTATATCAAAGAAGACATTTGGCATTTGTTTTTTAGGGATTGGCTAGCTTCACTTAGCATAATCTGCTCTAATGCCATCCATT